CTCGTTATCATTTATTTTATAAACATCAAGTAAAGTTACCAGTCACTTGGTTCTGGGTGATAATGCATTAAAATATTTAGGATTAGTTATTTTTTTAGACTGAATTTTATTTATTTTTTGTCAATTAAATAATATTATTACTTTACTTGAAACATAGGCCTAATTTGAAAGTAGTGTTTGCTTGTACGTCATTCTTTAAATTAGTTATTGATTGTAATCATCACGTGACATTTAAAAACGTTTCTCCAAAAGCTGTATGTATACGATCACACACAAATGTTAAAAAAGTAATGCATAGTTCTAAAACTACAGTTTTTATGAACAATAATAGATAAAATTATCAACATAAAAAAATTTGGAATATAAATAAAAAATATTAACAAGTTGTAATCATTAGAACCCTTTGACTTATATTTTTCAATACCTTCGAATAAAGTGGACGAGTCTATGAAGCAGTAGTTAAGCATTCAACACGTGTGAGTAGGTATTAATTGGCAATAGCAAGTCAATTAAATAGGTGGTACACTAACCGCATCCAGATGACTGATAATTTCTAGTTTATAGAAATCCTCCAAGTGCTGTAATAGTGATTAAGAAAAACAACAATCTCAGCCAATCATGGACCAGAATCTAAACAGGGAACTGGAACGGTAGGAATGTTTAAATGTATATGTAAAAATATAACATAAATGTAATCTGGTTTATATTTATTTATATGTAGTATGTATCTGTGTATGTTATATAACATAAAATAAACAGTATTATGTAAAGGCATATACAATATCATATAACTATTAAATATTCCTGGGTGGATTCTTGTAGCTCTGTTGATACAATATAATATATATATTTTAAATATTTATATTACGTATTCTTTATGTATGTGTGTGCAAATATACATTGGTCACATGTTTTTATATAATATTAGCTATTATATTGTTCACAGTTTTCTTCTCACCTCCTTTTCTAATTTACCATGTTTTCTGAATTGCTTGTTTGCTCTTCTAACTCTCAGATTCAGTAAATTGATTTAAATGCCATCTTAAAGGGTCATTCGTTCCAAATGGTCGATTGCTTGTATCAACAGATTACGGTTAAATAAAAGAAAAGAATAAAAGCGATTATTGAAATATGCAAACAAATATCTAATACAGTACTAATAAAGAATTAGATATTATATTCTGTCATCCAATGTTGGCTTAGGCGCTGACCTGCTCAAAATGCTTGATTGCGCCACCAATTGATCACAGACTTGGAAAACTACAGTGAGGCAAATAATACATTAGATATGAC